TTGCGCAAAGCTTTTGTTGTGAAGATAAGGTCAAGAAACAACGCAGCACTTTACTACGGGCTACTCGCGTGGCAGTGACAGATCCCCCCAGAGCGCGACGAGTATTCGGTGCTCTGCGACGAGTGGGCACTGGGTCCAAACAAAGGCTCGCGACTAAAGCTCTGCCCAGTGTTCGTCGCCCAGACGGGGCCGAGCCCCGGCGACCGATCCCGCCGACGCGGCCATAGCTTGGCTTGGATATTCTGGGCGGGAAGAGCTCAGCGCAGTAACGCCGACGGCGCAGGCCCAGGCCGCGCTCGATTTGCCCCCTCGCCTGCCGACGGAGGTCACTCACGACCTCGGGCCTGCCGTGCCATTCTTGCCGAGCCTGGCCGAATTCCAAACAGTCTGCTCGAGCTCCCAATTTTCTGCCGCGAGCCTCGACGCGATTTCGGGCAAGATCATTGCTATGTTCTGGGCCGATTTAGGGTCTGTCCACATTGGGCAATCAGCATCGCGCACGCATTCGGGCGCCGCTGGTTCCAGTTTTGCCGGAGTCGGCGGGTGACAGCCAGAGTGGACCTTGCCAGTTTGCAGCCGCGCGCGCTGCAGAATTTCGCGGACATTTGTTCTACTTGTGCGCGTGGTCCAAGCTTTGTGCAAGTCGCTTCGGTAACTCGTGATGATGTCGTGCAGCACGGTCGAAGTTATCGCGCAGTTGCTACAGGTCAGCGGGGTCCCGCCCTCCGCCATGCCCAAGGTCCTCGACCGCCTCCGACAAGGCCCAGCGGCTCTGCACAATGCCGGTGTCTGCCCCCGCATCCAAGCCCTCGCGGCGGACGCTTGCCATGGTGCATGGTTTACTTATCCCGGCTCCACCCAGGTTGCGTCTTCCACATTGGGCACTGTTCAAGGCCAACAACTGGCGGAAGTGGCATACCATTTGATCATGGGGGAATTCGCAGAGCTTGCCAGGGAGAGGCTGCAGCACCTGCAGTTTCCGATGAAATTTTCGACGCTGGCAGGCTGGACTAACCCTGCTCGTGGACGTAGAGCCCGCTCGCGCCGCGGCAGCAGCTGACATGTTTCTCTTTGACGGCGGCGCCTTTGCCCTCATGGACCAGCCCAACTGGCTCCTGGCCTATGCCCCAAGTTTAAAGCAGGCGAGTCTGCGTTTCTTTTCCAATTTTGAGGCGGACAGTCCAAGTCAGCACGCACCCAGCTTTGGAAGAAGCAGCAGGGCCAGTTTCAAGCCAGCTCCGACTGTGCAGGCGACTTCACAATCATAGCAGTCAGGCAGCACCCACATTTGGGAACCATTCTCGACGAGAAAGAAGCGATGGGTCCCGAGGTATCTCATAGGATCGCGGGTGTTTCGGCTTCGCCACAAGTTTTACAACGAAAGGTTATCCGCTCGTCAAGCACATCCCCGACTCGCTCGATCTGAAGATGTGCTTCGTCGACGCCCTCATCTCGTCATCCCTTCAGCGCAATGCGGGTGCATGGGCCGACGTCGAAGCAGGCGCACTCAAGATTTTGCGCGCTAGTATCATCAACAGGTGCAGGGCAGAAGCGGTCATGCAGCAACGCGACGGGCACGCGGCACGGGATATCCTAGTCTTTGCTTCGGTTATTCGACCCGACTTGGACATCCAGCTCAGCACTGATAGCCTTTGGGTTCTCGGTCGGATCTTGCATGTCGGTTCCGACCTCCCAATCGGGCTCGCGGCGCGCGACTTTCGGCTGGCTCGCCACTATAGAGCCACCGCATGGTCTTGGCTGCAGCGCGTGCTTGATGACCCACAGCTGCTTCGCTCGGTCCACTCGCCCGTTCGCGACCGTCCCGACCTCGCCTGCGACTTCGGGCCCGGGGAGCGCGCGCGCGCCCGCCCCTTCAGGCAGAGGGGGGGGGGGCTGTTGAGATCAGCGCAGCGCGCGCATGCGCGTGCCGTGGCAAGGCGGGCGCTGGCTGACCAGACCGAACGACAGTTTTTCGCCATCTTTCGGAGCAGCGGGTCCCCATTGCTGGTCGCCCATCCGGACACCGCCCGCAACATCTTGCAGAGCGATCGAACGATGCAGTGTGCGCGCACATGCCCGCGGTGTTCTATACAAGCACGTGCTAGTGCATCTCTGCGCCAACATCTCATTGTAGCGATGGTGGTAAGGGCATTTGGCTCGTCATCTGTGTGCCGTGCCTGCTCGACGGAATCCGCGGCGCGTCGGCAACTGCCTGTCCGTCTCGCGTTCGATGCAGCCAGGTGTTGTCCTTCTCATTGTTCCACGGCAGTCAGCTCGATTCCGATGCCGCCAGTTCGGCAGCTGCAGCGGGCGCGCAGCGCCGCGCAGAGCGGCGCAAGGCTGGCGCGGGCAGATGGGCAGCTGCTCATCCAGCCGCGCGTGCAGTACGCGACGAAGGTGTGCTCTGGGGGTCTGCTCGGGTATTCTCACACCTCGTGGAGCAGGGGGCCAAGGGTGTCATCGGAGAGTCTTTCTGTGATGTCGACGACCCTGCTAGACAACGGCTGCAGGAAATTTGGGCGCGCGAGCCGAATCCGGCCTCGCCCCCCTGCCCGCCCACGGCTGCGGGGGGCCTTCGCCGCCCCGACCTCGGAACTTCGAGGGCGAAGCCGCGCGGCGGATCCCCGGGCGCCCGCGGCGCGCTGAGGTCTTTATCTTGAAGGTGTTTTGCGGGCGACGCCGCGAGGGAGATGCGCGGGGGGGATATCTGGCATCGCGTTGATAATATGCACGCGTGTGCCGCGATGCAGATTGCGACGTCGTCGATTGATATGCCCATAGACGTTGCGCGGTGCGACTTGCACGTGCCGACGCAGCGCGGGAGTATACTACGCGCGTTCAGGCAAGACGTGAGCGGGTTACTGGGTTGCGGGGTGGGTCGGGGCCCCCGTGCGAAACGTGGCGTGCTCCGCGGTGGCTTGAGCCCCCCCCCCCCCCTCCTTCCGCGCGCGGCCTTGTGCTTTCGGGGTGTTCCGTGGCCCTCGGAACCCCTAGTTATGCAGCTTGAGATCGGCAGCGCGCTTTTGCGCTGATGGGGCACCCTCAGCCAGCCGCATGGAAACCCCGGGCCCCCGCCGGCTTCTCTTGGGTCCTTTCACGGGCTCAAGAGAGTCGCCCCCTCTCCAGCACTAACAATTCCGATTGGTGCCTGCTGCGCGACGCCCGCCCAGAAAGCACAGGGCGTGCTCCGACCGGAATCCTTCTATTCGGCTTCGTACATTTTGCGGGCATCTCGCGCGTAAAAACAATGGGCGGTGCAATCGCAGAGAGGGGTTGCACGTAACGCAGACGGGGAACAACCAGGACAACAGTTTCAACATTGTCCAGAGAAAGACATACCCATCGGCTATGCGCAAGTCGCTCGCCACAGGCATGACGGATGCTATTATTTCGGCGTTTGCTCTCGCCGTTCCCAGCTACGATTCCGACCGGGGCAACATCCAGGATCCAGGTGATGAGGACAGCGTCGATCTTCCTCAGTTTCATGTGACTCTCGACGGTGAGTTCTGGGACGCTCCTGATTTTGCAGGTCGGTCCCACAAGCCTCGCAGGGGGAACCCTGAGATCCAGCGCTGGGATCCTCCCTTTTCGTTCCGCCTTCCCGCCCCCCCTTCCGCCGAGGGGGGCCGGCTGTCCCGCCCGACGCCCAGCCCTGCGAGGCCGGGCCCGTCGCGCCTTGCGACCAGGATTTCTCGCCCTCCTTCTTTCGTTCTTCGCCTCCGCCTCCCCTTCCTCGCCGAGGCGCGGCGTGCCCGCGCCGCTGCCACCTCGGGCCGGGGCGCGAGCGAGACGCCATCGCAGAGTGGCGCCGTGGTCCCTCGCGTCCACACTGTGGCAAGAAGGCTCATTTTCTCTCTTGGGTTTTTTTCTTTGGGTGGATTCCTTCGTTTTCCTTTCGAGCATGTTGAGAACGGCTCGAGCGCCCATTCCATCGTCCGCCGCCGCCGCCTCCCTTCTCGTTCTCCCTGTTCCTCGTCCTCCTCCCCTCCTCGTCTTCCTCTTCCTTCTCATCCTTTTTCTTTCCTCCTGCTGAGGGCATTGTAATCCTCATGGGTGCTCTTATCTTCTCTTCGTGTTCGCCCCCCTCCTCCTCGTAACTCCCCCCTTCGCCCCGCTTCCTAGGGACGACGCCGTCGAAACACCTGGACCGATGTCCAGGCCCATCCTGGGCACAGGATGGGCCCGAGCACGTTGAATAAGATGCCGGCCTGCGTGCAGGTACCCCGCCGACATTTTATCAACCGAATCGAAGACTTGTCGGATCCACATTTTTTCGTGGCGCCTTGGGAATGTTCAAGATGGACGACGAAGGTGCCCTTAGACTTTGGGCGTCTTCCGTCTTCTGGCAAGGCATCTTCTCGCGTGCGCCTGCCATATTTGCACAGTGGAGCGACGCGCAGAACAACTGGCTCGACCGCGCCGACATTCCCGCGCACGTAAGGTGGTGCGCAAACGCCCTCGTTTCCAGTGTGGCGAGCCGCGGTGGCGGCTCGCGTAAGCAGCGGCATTTGGTCGCTGTGCCGTGTTTTCTGACTCGTCGTTTTGCCGATCGGCGCGGGCCCTCGCACCCCCCCCCCCTTCCCCCCTCGTGGAGTGATATCTTGGCTGCTTTCGGCGCCGGTCTCGAGCAGGTGGGGTCTCCCCCCCCCCACAGGACGCACTGCTGCAGAGACAGGTCGCGTGAAGCAGAGACCCCTTGAGCCAGGCCCCCCCCCCTTTCACCCCCCTTTCCGCCCCACTGTCGAAACGCCGCATCAGAAAACGTCTGTTGCGCCATCTCGCGCAAGACCCGCTGCTCCTCGTCGTTCAGTACAGTCGGGGCGCTGAAGAAGGAACCCTTTTCGTTGGGGAGGGGCTCCGTGTAGCTTGCCTTAGATTTTCCTTAGGTTTCCGATGCGAAATCGAAGTTCAACTTATGGAAAAAAGGGGCCTCGTTCCTGATTTAGGGTTCCTTAGGTCAACGCCCCGACTGTAGACCTTCTCCTGGCCCTCCTCTCCAGGCGGCCGCCGAGGGGCGCGCGGCGGGCGGCGTCGAGCTCGGGGCCGAGGGGCGGGCGAAGCAGACCGACATCGTCGACCCAGACGCGGGCGTCGTCTCCGCGGTCGGCTCCCTGGACGTGGAGCAGCTGAGGCCCCCCGCTATAGGGGAACAAAAAGTAACATAAACATTACCCCAGTGCGACCCTACCTAGAAGTTGGAGCCCCTAGGAAAGCAGCATTAGTTGCTATGCTATGCTATGCCGTGCCATGCTATGCTGCGCTATGCTCTCTCCCCTGGAGGGGGGGGTAGGGGAACTAAAAGTGACATAAACATATAAAAACTCGGAGGTCCACGCGGATTTCTCGGATCGGCGCCGGGGCCCCCGGCGGCGCCTCCGGCGCCGCCCCTGGCGCGCTCCGCGCGCCAGGGAGGGGGTTGTCGAGCGCCGATCCGGAGAAATCCGCGCGGACTCCGAGAGATTTTTATGTTTGTGCCACTTTCTGTTCCCCTACCCCCCCCCCCCCGGGGAGAGAGCCAGACGCCTGCCCAGGCGAGCGACGGCGCCGCTGCGACGATGCTTTCCGGATCTGTCTGGTGGCGCTCCAGAGGGACCGTCTCCCTTCGGGGGTGGACAGAACCCCCACACAGTGCCACGTCGATTCGTGAGCTGTCCGTTTTCGGTTCTCGAGATGGCGCCGTGGCCGTTGCTTTCCAGGCTTGCGCCCGCCAGGTTTGGGCCTCAGGCCGTCTTCACTAAGCCACGTTTTACTAAAGGGGGGTCTGCCCATCCCCGATCCCTGCATGTTGGCCCCCGTGTTCACTAAACCACGTTTTGCTAAAGGGGGGTCTGCCAATCCCCGATCCGTGCATGTAGGACCCCGTGTTCTGCAGCAGGGCCCGCCCTGGGCCGATCGCGCGTTGCGTTGCGTTGCGTCGCGGCCGGCACGTTTTTTTTTTTTTGTTTTTTTTTTTTTTTGTTGTTTTCTCCAGTGGCGTGTTGCGCCAGGGGGTGTTCGAAGACTGGTACAGAAAGGACCAGCGAAGAGTCCCACGGGTCGGCGGTGAGCGAGGGGGGGAGGATGGGAAGGAGAAGGCCCTGTCAGAAGGCGGCGGGACTTGTGTCAGAAGTCCTCGCGCCTCATGAGTGCTTTTCTGTGTCTTCGGGGGCGGCTGAGGCAACTTCTCGGAAGGCCGTGGGACTTCCGAGCCGTCCGAGGAGGCCCGCCCTTTCTCATTTCCCCCCTCGCTCGCCGCCGAAGAGGGGGGACGGGGACCCCGAGACCGCCACCCGAGACAGCGGCTACATTTTTTGGTCCAGCCCCGGCTGTGCTCTCACCCCTTTCTCTTGTAGCCGACCCCCTTCTCTTTGACCCGTCTCTTCACCTGTGCTGCTATTCGGGTGCTTTGCTGGGGAATTTGTCCCAAGCGTCTTAGCCTGTACGACGGGCAGTAGAGCCACTCGTCACATCCGAAGGAGCGTCTTCTGAGTACGTTTGGTGGAAGTCAAGGGGGTAGTGTGCGATCCCCCTACGCCCTTACAAGCCTCAGAGGGTGGATTCGCAACCCACCCTATACCACCCCCCTTTCCCCCTCTAAAGTGAAATTGAGAGTCGGAGGGGGGGTCGACCGTCAAACAAGCGCCGGCAACCGACCGTCTTCGTCGCCGTCAATATAGCCAGGACGAGGAGGAGGAGGAGGGGGAGGAGGAGGACGACGACGACGACGGCGTGTCCCGCCCGCCAGCCCCAGGGGCGACAAACGACGACGATGATGAGGACGGCGACGGCGGCGGCGGCGGCGACTGCGACTGCGATGGCGTCGTCGTCGTCGTCCAAACGACGACGAGGATGAGGACGAGGACTTCGACGGCGATGGCGACGGCGACGGCGACTGCGACTGCGACTGCGATGGCGTCGTCGGCCTCGTCGTCGTCGTCGTCGTCGTCGTCCAAACGACGACGAGGATGAGGACGAGGACTTCGACGGCGACGGCGACTGCGACTGCGACTGTCATGGCGTCGTCGTCGTCGTCGTCGTCGTCGTCGTCGTCATCATCGTCCTCGTCGTCGCGGTCGACGACGACGTCGTCGTCGGAAAGAGCGCGTTCTGTTGTCGTTCCAAACCACCCTGGATGGGAGGGGAGGGCTTCGAACCCCCCCACCCTCGCCCCCCCCTCCCGTGACGGGGGGGGTGTTCGAATCCCCCCCTCCCTCCCTCCCCCATCTCTCCTCTCTCCCGGAGGGGGAGGAGGAGGAGGAGTTACCAGGGCATGTTTTCGATGTGGTTGTGGTCGCTCGCTGTCCCCGCAGGCAGCTCGTCCAGGCCAGGGCGGACGTGAACCGCGTCGCGGACGGGAGCTCCCCGCTGCTGAGCGCCCTGCATCAGGAGGGGGAGCAAAAACGCACAGACGCATTCAACTGTCGACTTCCAAGAAATTAGCTGCCTCGATACGCACGTTTTGATACGCAACACGTACCGTGCTCAAAACGTCCGTGTCAATCCGTTGCGTGTTGACTCAACGTATTGGCCCACGTTTTGGGGAACGTATCGCGTCAGACCTACGATTTCAGGGTACGTGCTGAGCTCCGTATCAATACGCTACGTGTTGCGTGTTTCGTATCGGGGCAGCTAAGCCAAGAAAGTATGGGAAACTATGGGTCGCTGGGGCGAAAACGAATATCACGAAACTATGGGAAACTGGGGGATCCTGGGGTTTGTGTGTGTATATATGTGCCTGTGAACCCTGGGAAGTGTTGGGACTCCTGGGAGAAGACGAAAATGACGAAAGCGTGGGAAACTGTGGGGAATCCTGGGATGTTTGTGCGCATGTGTTTGTAAACCCTGGGAATTGTTGGGACTTCCGGGAAGAGACGAAGCCCACGAAAGTGTGGGAAACTGTGGGGGATCCTGGGATGTTCGTGTGTATGTGTTTGTAAACCTTGGGATCTGTTGGGGCTCCTAGCAGAAAACGAAAATCATTGCAGTGTGGGAAGCTGTGTGGAATCCTGGGATGTTCGTGTGTATGTGGTTGAACACCTTGGGAACTGTTGGGGCTCCTGGGAGGAGACGCAGCTCATGAAAGTGTGGGAAACTGTAGGGAATTCTTGAATGTTCGTGTGTATGTGTTTGTAAACCTTGGGAACTGTTGGGGCTCCTGGGCGGAGACGAAGCCCATGAAAGTGTGGGAAACAGTGGGGGATCCTGGGATGTTCGTGTGAATGTGTTTGTAAACCTTGGGAACTGTTGGGGCTCCTGGGAGGAGACGAAGCCCATGAAAGTGTGGGAAACTGTAGGGGATCCTGGGATGTTCGTGTGCATGTGTTTGTAAACCTTGGGAGCTGTTGGGCCCCTGGGAGGAGGTGAAGCCCAGGAAAGTGTGGGAAACTGTGGGGAATCCTGGGATGTTTGTGCGTAGTTGTCTGTAAATCTTTGGAACTGTGGGGACTCCTGGGGGGAGACGAAGCCCATGAAAGTGTGGGAAACTGTGGGGGGTCCTAGGATGTTCGTGTGTATGTGTTTGTAGACCCTGGGAACTGCTGGGGCTCCTGGGAGGAGACGAAGCCCATGAAAGTGTGGGAAACGGTGGGGGGATCCTGGGATGTTCGTGTGTATGTGTTTGTAAACCTTGGGATGGGTTGGGGCTCCTGGGAGGAGGCGACGCCCATGAAAGTGTGGGAAGCTGTGTGGAATCCTGGGATGTTCGTGTGTATGTGTTTGTAGGCCCTGGGAGCTGCTGGGGATCCTGGGAGGAGACGAAGCCCATGAAAGTGTGGGGAATTGGTTTGGGATTCCTGGGATGTTCGTATGTATGTGTTTGTAAACCTTGGGAACGGTTGGGGCCCCTGGGAGGAGACGAAGCCCATGAACGTGTGGGAAGCTGTGGGGGTTCCTGGGATGTTCGTGTGTATGTGTTTGTAAACCTTGGGAACTGTTGGAGCTCCTGGGGGGAGGTGAAGCCAATGAACGTGTGGGGAGCTGTGGGGAATCTTGGGATGTTCGTGTGAATGTGTTTGTAAACCTTGGGAACTGTTGGGGCTCCTGGGAGGAGGCGAAGCCCATGAAAGTGTGGGAAACAGTGGGGGATCCTGGGATGTTCGTGTGCATGTGTTTGTAAACCTTGGGAACTGTTGTTGCTCCGGAGGGAGACGAAGCCCATGGAAGTGTCAGAAACTGTAGGGAATCCTGGGATGCTCGCGCGTATGTGTTTGTAATCATTGGGGACGCTTGGGGCTCCTGGGAGGAGACGAAGCCCATGAAAGTGTGGGAAACTGTGGGGGATCCTGGGATGTTCGTGTGCATGTGTTTGTAAACCTTGGGAACTGTTGGGGCTCCTGGGAGGAGACGAAGCCCATGAAAGTGTGGGAAACTGTTGGGAATTCTGGGATGTTCGTGTGTATGTGTTTGTAAACCCCGGGAACTCTTGGGGCTCCTGGGAGGAGACGAAGCCTATGAAACTGTGGGAAAATGGTTGGGGAACCCTGGGATGTTCGCGCGTGTATGTGGTTGTAAACCGTGGGAGCTGTTGGGGCTCCTGGGGGGAGACGAAGCCCATGAACGTGTGGGAAGCTGTGGGGGATCCTGGGATGTTCGTGTGTATGTGTTTGTAACCCTTTGGAAGTGTTGGGGCTCCTGGGAGGAGACGAAGCCCATGAAAGTGTGGGAAACGGTGGGGGGATCCTAGGATGTTCGTGTGTATGTGTTTGTAAACCTTGGGATGGGTTGGGGCTCCTGGGAGGAGACGAAGCCCATGAAAGTGTGGGAAACTGTGGGGGGATTCTGGGATGTTCGTGTGAATGTGTTTGTAAACCTTGGGAACTGTTGGGGCTCCTGGGAGGAGACGAAGCCCATGAAAGTGTGGGAAGCTGTAGGGGATCCTGGGATGTTCGTGTGCATGTGTTTGTAAACCTTGGGAACTGTTGGGGCTCCTGGGAGGAGACGAAGCCCATGAAAGTGTGGGAAACTGTGGGGGGATTCTGGGATGTTCGTGTGTATGTGTTTGTAAACCCTGGGAACTGTTGGGGTTCCTGGGAGGACACGAAGCCCATGCAAGTGTAGGAATCTGTGGGGGGGATCCTGAGATGTTCGTGCGTATGTGTTTGTAAACCTTGGGAACGGTTGGGGCTCCTTGGAGGGGACAAAGTTTATGAAATTGTGAGAAGCTGTGTGGAATCTTGGGGTGTTCGTGTGTATGTGTTTGTAAACCCTGGGAACCGTTGGGGCTCCTGGGAGGAGACGACGCCCATGAAAGTGTGGGGAATTGGTTGGGGAATCCTGGGATGTTCGTGTGTATGTGTTTGTAAACCTTGGGAACGGTTGGGGCTCCTGGGAGGAGACGAAGCCCATGAAAGTGTGGGAAACAGTGGGGGATCCTGGGATGTTCGTGTGCATGTGTTTGTAAACCTTGGGGACGGTTGGGGCTCCTGAGAGGAGACGAAGCCCATGAAAGTGCGGGAAACGGTTGGGGATCCTGGGTTGTTCGGGTGTCGGTGTTTGTAAACCCTGGGAACTGTTGGGGCTCTTGGGAGGAGACGAAGCCCATGAACGTGTGGGGCACTGTAGGGGCTCCTGGGATGTTCGCGTGTATGTGTTTGTAGACCCTGGGAACTGTTGGGGCTCCTGGGAGGAGACGAAGCCCATGATGGTATGGGAAACTGTTGGAAATCCTGGGGTGTTCGTGTATATGTGTTTGTAAGCCTTGGGATCTGTTGGGGCTCCTGGGATGAAACGAAGCCCATGGAAGTGTGGGAAACTGTTGTGAATCCTGGGGTGTTTGTGTGTACGTGTTTGTACACCCTGGGAACTGTTGGGGCTCTTCAGACGGGACGAAGCCTATGAACGTGCGGGAAATTGCAAGGGATCCTGGGATGTTCGTGTGTACGTGTTTGTAGACCCTGGGAATTGTTGGGGCTCCTGGGAGGAGACGAGGCCCAGGAAAGTGTGGGGAGCTGTGGGGATCCTGGGTTGGTCGTGTGTATGTGTTTGTAAACCCTCGGAACTGTTGGGGCCCCTGGGGGGAGACGAAGCCCATGCCAGTGTGGGAATCTGTGTGGGGTCCTGGGGTGTTCGTGTGTATGTGTTTGTAAACCCTGGGAACTGTTGGGGCTCCTGGGAGGAGGCGAAGCCCATGAAAGAATGGGGCACTGTGGGGGAACCTGGGATGTTCGTGTGTATGTGTTTGTAAGCCCTGGGAAGTGTTTTGGCTCCTGGGAGGAGGCGAAGCCCATGAAAGCGTGGGAAACTCTGGGGGATCCTGGGATGTTCGTGCGTATGTGTTTGTAAACCTTGGGAACTGTTGGGTCTCCTGGGAGGAGGCGACGCCCATGAACGTGTGGGAATATGTCGGGAATCCTCGGGTGTTCGTGTGTATGTGTTTGTAAACCCTGGAAACTGTTGGGGCTCCTGGGAGGATACGGAGCCAATGAAAGTGTGGGGAGTTGTGGGGGATCCTGGGAT